TTGGGGAAGGGACCTATAAAATCAATTGCGATTGATTCCATTGGACTCCTTGGGACTTCAGAAGTTTGAAGCTTTCCTGTGGTTGCGGTGGTTCGCGCCTTAATGCGTTGGCACGAGTCGCAGGACTTCAGCTGTGTCTCGACCTCTTTTGCCATACCTGGCCAGAAGAACGTGCTTCGTAGACGTGCAATGGTCTTCAGAATACCTAGATGCCCCAAGGCCGAGTGGGCCTGGGAGATAAAATCACGTCGAAGACTTCCAGTTTGAGGAATAACCAATCGCCCATCTAAATATAAAAGATTGTCCTTCATGACGCAATCTTCCCGCAGAGGTACCACCTTTTTCAGTTTGATGCAAAACTTGTCTTCTTCATAACCCTCCTGAATCTTCTGAACCTCTTCCTCTCTTAATGCTGCTTTAACTTCACACAAGGCAACATCATCTCGTCGAGAAAGTGCATCAGCTACAGAATTATCCTGACCTCGTAAGTATTTAAAGTCCAGGTCAAACTGAGATAAGGTTTCTAACCACCTTGCCTGTCGTCGGCTGAGATTGCGTTGTGTCAATAAGGTTGTCAATGAGTGATGGTCCGACATAACATTCACTCGCATGCCTAAAAGTAAGAGCTTCCACTTGTTGAGAGCGTTGACAACCGCAAGGAGCTCCTGTTCGTGCACAGGGTAGTTCTTCTCAGCCGCATTCATTGTCCGGCTCTCGTAAGCAATGGGTGAGGCTGTGTCCCACTTGAGTCCTTGAAATAGAGCCGCTCCTAATCCGTTACCACTAGCATCCGTGAAAAGCCAGAGCGGTTCGTCTGAGTCATAGTCCAGATTACGAAGTACTGGTAGTGTTGTAATGAGACGCTTGATGTTGTTGAAAGCCACTTCTTCTGCTTCTCCCCATCGAAAAGGTTTCCCCTTCAAGGAAGTGCTCGTCAGAGGAGATAAGGTTCCAACATAATGTGACAGTCCGTCAATAAATTTTTTCATCCACTGGACCGTGCCTAAGAATTTGAGTAATTGTTTTGAGTTAGTTGGAGAGGCCCACTTGGAGATCTTCTCAACCTTTTCGTCATCTGGACAAACTCCTGTCTCACTAATGATGTGTCCTAAGAATTTGATTTCACGTCTGAATAATTTGCTTTTCTTGATGGAGCAATAAAGCTTTGCCGCACGTAGTCTTTCAAGTACCTGTCTTAAATGTACCTCATGTTCTTCAACTGTTTGTGAGAATATTACAATGTCATCAATGTAAACCACGCATATCTTTCCTACCAAATCACCTAAAATCTCTTCATTTCGAGCTTGATGTGTCGCAGGTCCATTTGTTAGTCCCATGGGCATAACAACCCATTCATACAACCCCCAAGGGGTCTTCACCGCCGTCAGCGGGATATCTTCTTCGCGCATTCTGTCTTGAAAAAATGAATTTGTCTGATCTACAACTGACCAAACTTTTCCAGTAGCCACTAGCCTCACTGATTCATCGACATTTGGTAATGGTGCACGGTCTTTGACAGTGTACTTGTTCAAAGTTCTGTAGTCACACACCCATCTGGGTAATTCTGTTGGATCTTTTTTCGGAATGATCATTGAGGGAGAACCGTACTGGCTTTGAGATCGCCTAATACGTCCAGCTTTCAGGTGTTGGTCCACCAACTTGCGCCAAGACTCTTGATGTTTCTGAGGGTATCCATATTGTTTCTCATTGATAACAACATTGGGATCCGTAAGAATGATCTTATGACGAACTCGTCTGCTTGCCTCAGGTAATCCTTCTGGGAAAGTTTCATCCGGCGGATCACCCTCCTCCACTGGAGGCAGTTCCGCTGGGAATATATCTTCAAATTCTTTCAATACGGACATTTCCCGCTTGTTCAAGTCCTGAGCTTTGCTGATTTTCTCAAGATTTTCAATGGCACATAATATGCGATTCAATTCAGACTTCATTGCTTTCTCGTACAGAATTTTTCCGCTAGGAACGTGTAGCGCACATCGACGATGAAGGGAGACATCAAGTTTGAATTTAGATAAAAATGGAGACCCGAGAATGATATCATAGCTTCCTCCTAAAGGTTCCAGCTTGAAAAAAACAGCGCCGAATCGTAAACTGGGATCATCACACTTGAGATTAGCTATAGCAAATTCTCGTAGGATAAGAGGTTCGCCTTCAGTGGGAATTGCTAAGCGTACCTCGACCGGGGCTACCAACGGTCTTCGTACCACTCGCAAATCACGCGCCATGTTGTTCGATAGTAAGTTCGTCCCAGCGCCTGAATCAATTAGAGCCCGAACAATTTTTCCATTACAGATTAGCTCTAAAATGATTGGAGCCGTCGACGAAGGGGCTACACACCTTTCGGCACCTTCAGCTTCCTCCTCCACTAACCCCATCTTGAATTGATCCGCTTCTGCATACGCAGCAATATCTTCGGCAATCATATCTGGGAAAGCTTCGACTGCTGCGACACGACTAGGGGTGGGAGTGGTGGTTGTTCGTCCGGCGGGTCTTTGCGTTGGCGTTCCTGGGGGTCGGACCTGAGTTGTGGCTGATGCTCGAGTGGGTCGTGGACCAGGATTAAAGTCGGATGGAACCGAAAGAAATCGAGAGTTCTTGTTTGTGCAAGTAGGGTTATTACACTTGTCTTTACACACCGCGCAGATGCCAGATTTGCGGAGATACTCGTGATATCTCCAGGCATTGTCAGCTCTTTCTTGATCTGAACGAGATCTAGCTTGGATCGTAGTGCGAGGTTGAGAGGATACAGATGTGTTCGTGACAGTCATTGGTTGTGATGGTCTAGGTCGTACCGATCCGTCATTTAGCAGTTTACTGTCTGTGAGAAAGCGCCAAATGCCATCCGCAGCGTCTTTAAAAGCGGGAAAGGAGAAAGGTTCGGCCAAGCGTTTCTCACGCTCGATCAGATTTTTAAATAACTTAGGAGCCCCCTCAGTAATATACTCCGCTAAAGTTTTATCCGATAATCCGCTTACTCGCTAACCAAGCGATGTAATGCTTGCGCTCGAGTGACGTAGTTGTCGA